CATGTGTATTACATTAGGGTATTTGAAATGAGGAGAAAAATGCCAAGTTTTTTGGTCTATGGATTGGTGATGTTAATTTGAAATTGATAGGTATAGTGATTGTTTTGTAATTGTCAAAATACATGCACAATTTTGTAAAGTGTAAGGGTAATCTTGTAATTTCAATGGTGCTTTATTTAAGTTCCTAGATTTTAATTTTATTTATCCAAAAATAAATTAAAGTATATTCCTTGTGGATCTCGCTTTAGTCTCTAGAATTTTGATTCTATTTCATTTTTTATTCTTAAACTTTCAAACAATCTATTTTAGTCTTTAATTTTTCTTTTTTCTTTAATTTTTTTTTTCTTTTCTTTTTTCTTTAATTTTTTTTTCTTTTGAGAAATTTATATTTATTGTTTCAACTTTACTTAAAAAAATCATCAAGTTTTATGAGAAGGTTTAATTCCTACATAATTTTGGATTACTTTCTCCTTTGAAAAATTAAAGTTTAATTCCTACTACTACTATTATTATTATTATGATTATTATGATTATTATTATAATAAGATGAATAAGCAATTATGATGAGTGGAAAAGTCAATATTCACAATACAATTTGATAATTATTAAACGTTGTTGGACCTTACATCGATCATTTTCAAATGATACTAACGTAGCACACAATAAATAACAGTAGAATATCGTACGATAGTATAAGAAATTTTCTCTTTCAAAGTGATTTCGCTATCTTTCGATTCTCCCAAAGTCTCTCGAGTCTCACGCATGTTTTTCACAAAAATTTTTCAAAATACACATAAATTCTTTTTAGAYAATTAAGAGCATTTTCAACTAAATAACAAAACCATATTATTTATCTTTCTATCTAAGTCTCTCTTTTTCAACTCTTTCTTCACTTTAACTCTTATCTCTATCTTCACTTAACTTTCAAAACACACATAAATTTGTGCCTTTGGAAAAGAAATGTTAAATGTAGAATGWATGAAATAATTAAGTTCCGTAAAAAAGAGTTGTTATCTTTCCTTTCTAGGGATGGGTGAAAAGATTCAACTTACTCAATGAAATTAACTTTTGAATATTCGACTACATTTTATAAGTCGATCAATCGTTGCCAGCAAGTCAAATATAAAAAAAAAACATTATATCATAATTTGAAACACATATAGTGTAAAATAAATACTTTTGAAAATGTATAAATAGTACAACATTGAATATACGCCAGTAGAATCTGATTATAAGCTAGTAAAATATCTTTAAAAAAGAAAAAAGAAAACTTTAGAAAAATATGTAGGGAGATATAGCTAGATTATGGTCACTTATATGACTATAAATATTTTGAAAATGTTTAAATAGTAGCATGGACTAAACCTAGATTGTGGTCGCTTGTATGACTATAACTTCCTTTTTCTTTAAGAGGGGTCGTCCTGAAAAGATAAGCACTAAATATATGATATATGTGTGTTTATTTTAAAACATTTTGAAAGAAAAAATATCAAACCATAATGTAACCTTGGGAGAGAATTTGAAAGAAATTTATGAGTAATTTAGGAAAGTCATTTGACTAACTTTCAATCATTTCATTGAGCAAGGAAATCTCAATACCAATAAGTTAAGAAAGAAATGTTTGAAATATAAGTTCATAGAAAGTGTAACAAAGTTTCCTTTGAGATTCCAAAACTTTCCCATCCAAAGAAAAAAGATGATGAGTCAAAAGAAATTATAAAGAAGACAAAATGCATTCCAAGGCAAAACTTTTACCTTATAACTTCTTTTATTCCTATAATCTTTTAATCGTAAAAAATTGGGACTAATACGAGCGTAGTTCAGCAATAATTAACACTTGTCTGAGATTATGAGTTCGAATCTTCCAACTCTTACATGTTCTACTAAAAAAAATAATAATGATTCTAAAAATTTGGTAGACAAAAACCCTGTAAATTCTATATTTTATATATACTTTTTGAACCACGCTAAAAAAGGAAGAATTTTCCTCTCGTACCTTCTTCATTTTGCCCTTGTTTTCATATATAATATTTTTTAAAATGGAGCTTAGGAAAGAATTGGGAAGAAATTAGTTTAAACTTTCCTTTGATTATTTCATGATTAATGCATAAACTTTCAAACATAGATTCTATTTTAGTTCTTGGCTTCTTAGAAAATCAATTGGAATATGATTATTAATGTTTTGTAAATTATTTAACATTTTTATTCATTTAGTTGGGGTGGGAGTAAATTCATATTTTTGTTAAACCATTAACTTTTAGAACTTAATTAATTTTTGTATGCATAGGTTTATAAGCTAAAACATAAAATTTCAAAATTAAAAGATTTGAAAAGAAATTTAGATAAGTTTAACATCTTTAGTGTATGTATATATATATATATATGAACTATATAACTATAATATTGTGGTTGACGTACTCAGAGGTTTTGGAGTACGTCAACAGCAAAATAGAACATTAAACTAGGAAAGTTCGAAGATGAAAATATGAATTTAAAGTAAAGAAATTTCTTAATAATTTGGAAAAAGTTTATTTGAGTAACTTCAATAAACTTTAATAGCAAAGAGGATAAAGAAGAAAATGAAATGTTTTTATGATTCAAAATTAAGTTGTCAAACTAAAAAGAAAGAATCTTCCACCATTCACACTAAACATGTGTAACAAAACTCAAAAGAATAATGTGGTGTTCAAAATGGCTTTTTGGTTAGGGTTTCTACATAAATTCATGTGTATTACATTAGGGTATTTGAAATGAGGAGAAAAATGTCAAGTTTTGTTGGTCTATGGATTGGTGATTTTAATTTGAAATTGATTGGGAAAGTGATTGTTTTGTAATCGTCAAAAATACAAACACACTTTTGTTATGTGTAAGGGTAATCTTGTAATTTCAACCGGGCGCTTTATTTAATTCTACGGATTTTAATTTTACTTATCCAAAAAACTAAAGTATATTAATCAGTTTTGGTCCCTGAACTTTGGTGCCGATTTCATTCAATATTTTCGTCTCTCTTTTTTTTTTTTTTTGAGAAATTTATATTTTATTGTGTCAACAAACTTGGCAAAATGGGTCAATTTTTATTTAAACTTTCAATTTCATCGTACTGAATTTTAGACTCCCGATAAGATTTATATTTCTATTTAGACTTTCATTTGTAACCACTGAAAATTTGGTTGGGAGATTAATTCGTGCATTGATTTTTCAGAGCTTGCTTTTCGAAAGCAATGTTTGGTAAGATTTTTACCTTTTTTTTTCGTGTGATAGTAGTGGGTGAATATGACAGCAGAAAATAAAAAATATATGCTTATCCACATATGAAGTTTCATTTAATTTTTTTTTAATTAACGTTATTAAGTTCAAGGATAAAAATTTGAATTTTTCTTTTTTTTTTTCTAAAACCATTTTTGAAAGAAAATATATTTTTCTACAATATTAGAGAGTTTGATGTTACCTTTGAAGCTTCCCTTGAATTAAAAAAAAAAAAAAAACCACAAAATTTGGTTGGTGGAATCTGAACACTCCAAAAGAAAAARCAAAAAGAGAAGTAGAAAAATAATTTTTCATCCAACAACCATTAGATGGGCTGTCTAATTTTTTTATCCCTTTTTTGATCTTTAAATACGTTAAATTCTTTTTAGTATTCGAATTCAAGATGATTTAATATGAAATATTTGTCTTAAATTCCGCTCAAATTGGTTTAAATTATCTTCCAAGGCTAAAAATAATATTAGTGATAATTCAAAAAGTTAACATTTTTGTCTTCATATTTTTGCGTAGTAATTTAGTCTACTCCCATAAACATATATGAAAACAAATTTATGCATGAAAAATGAACAAAGAGATAAAACATTCAAAGATTGATTGGAATGACTCAAGTACAATAGGATTAGGACCTCAATTTTGCATTTTTGTAAATATAAGGATAAAATTGTTATATTTTTGTACGGAAAAATTGCACAAACCACTCTAAACCGATACAACTACACTCATGAACCTGTTTTTTTTTTGTGTAAAAATTAAACCTCCAAAATTATGCAAGTGAAAAAAATTGCACTCATGAACTCTCCGTGTTAAAACTAAACACAAACTTCCATGTATGAAAAAGTCAGGTCCTCTAAGGGAAACGATAATAGATTTTCTTTTCAATAAGTACCTAAATTTTATTCATAACTTTACAAAAGAAATAAGATTTTGGGAATAGGAAACTCGAGCATTGAATTTTTAAAATACAGTGACTAAATTATTGCATTTTTTTAACGCTAAGGACCCAATATCAAATAATAAAAAATGAAAAGTTGCATAGTCAAAAGTCAAAAGAGTGAAAACATATTTTAATGAAACAAATAACACGTGCATTATGAGAAGGGTCTTTGTTGGCTATGGAGTTGGTTTGGTCCTTTTAAGCGACTCACCCTTGACCGTTTCTCCTATTGCAACGTCACACAATCATCCAATCAAATTTTGGTCTACCATTTCCTACCAAGGGTATACATGTCATTTTCTACCAGGGTAGTAGACGTCTTTTTCTTCTATTACACGAATCGACTAAACCAACCACCAAAACATATCCAACCCAAAACCAAACGAAACGAATCGACGAGTATAGTTCAAACCGTCCAAACATCGTCGACTCAGTACCAATGAAAAAATATGATTTCATGTCAAAGTTTTTTCTTTTTTCTTTGGAGACAGGAATTCAAACTCATGACCACTTGATCAGATACAACTGTCAATTATCACTGAGCTAAATTCATGTCAATTACCACTGAATTCATGTTCGAGTTTTAGGTCAAAGTTTATGGAATTGGGAAAATCTCCCCCTTGTCAATTCGAGAGGGCTCAAAATGAGTAAGAATCAAAAAACATTGACAAGATCCGAACAGTTTGAAACAATAACTGATGAGATAATCTAAGATTGAAGTCCTGGTCAACCATAATATTTAGTTTTGACAAATAATAGGGAACTGAAACTGGAAATCCCTAAAGAAAGAAAGAAAGAAAGAAAGCTAATTAAATAAATGGGAAGAAGAGAAAATATACATGACCTGACCTGGATGGACTCCCAAAACTTGCACAAAATGGCATGAAAATCCAGTCTAGTCTGTGGACAATTTTTCAGTGACTCAGAACTAGTACATACATCATTTTATAATCTAAATTACAACACAGCCAGATCACTCTGGATCCTCAAAAAATGTACACAGGTATCTCCTATTAAACAGGCCTATTCCGCTAATGTGTTTCGTGTAACAAAATACACCCCGTGAACCCCGAACACAACTATAGACTATGTGAAGAGGCCAGTAGGGGACTTACATTCGGAATCAGATTGCAGAACCACACCACCACCATTGTGTTGCTATGCGCATGGCAACCGATATGTAACAATAATTTGCTGATACAAATTTCGAATATCTGATCTTTTAGAATCCAACCCATTTCACCCATCTGAAAAGTCGACCGACTCTGAATGGCAGCTCGTAGTCTTTGGTAACAGCAGGCTCCCTCCTTGCAGTCTCGGGATCAGACCACACATATACACCACGTTCCTGTCGACTGCCGGGCACTGTGTTATCGAGGATTATGGCAACCAAGAATGCGATCACCATGTGTAATGAGAATAATGTGTTGAGAACATAATTCAGCTGCAAAACAAGAATGGAGAATCAGACACCACCTAAATGAAACTGAGATGTTCGCTAAGGATGGAGCATAACTCACACAACCGAATCAGACACAACCTGTGTTATCGCTAAGGATGGGCTTTTGTTTTTTGTATGTCCTTTCTATATGCTTCTTTTTTCATTCTTCTGAATAAAAAGTTTGATTTCTTATCAATAAAAAAAGACCCACACAACCGAAACATGAAGTGTTACGTTGAAAGGGGAAATGAACAAGGATGAACAAGAAAAGAATTGCATTTGTTTGTTAAGATCTCATATTCCATTTCCATTATAAAATATTAAGTTCAAATATTATTTTGGACTCTGTACTTTTTAAATGTCTATTTTGGTCTCTGTACTTTTAGATTTGGTCCATTTTAGTCGTGTAAAATGTCTAGTTTGGTCCCCATACTTTTTTAAAAATGACCATCTTGCTCCCTTTATCTTTTTTTTTATGACTTTTTCCAATCACAATTAGACACTATGATAAATCATACAAACACTATGATCACTAAATTTCTTGAGATGTAGTTATAACTTTATATAAAAGGATTTTTGTTGTATATAAAACTTGTGTTAAAATCTTGTAAATTTCTTGAGATGTAGTTATAACTTTATATAAAAGGATTTTTGTTGTATATAAAACTTGTGTTAAAATCTTGTAAAGCAAGACCAAAATGGTCATCTTTTAAAAACTACAAGGACCAAAATAGCATTTCAAAGGTACAAGGACCAAGTTGAAAGGTACGGGGACCAAAATGATGCAAAGCTAAAAAATACAGAAACCAAACTAATATTTAAACCTAAATATTATAGTCAATGAAAGCAAAGTTGAAACTTACATGTGAAAGGTGCTAAAGAAATGATCTAGATGATTAATTTCCATCACCTATTAAATTACTGGAGCTTTGTGATGGAGAAAGAAATAGTATACCCCAATATTGGCACCAAAAGTTAATAGTCTCAACTATTTGCAAAAGCATAAAGAGATGGAGGTATTGAGAGAGAGTGAGAGAGAAATACCCCTCCAGATTTACTGTTGAAAGGTCCATGGGAAGCCACAATATATGGCTGAAAATAACTTGGAACAGACAAGTTGGAGCCTGGGGAGATACCGTACTGTTGAAAGTAGGCTGGTATCGAGAGTGAGAAAAATAAAGATAATCCAACAATTATGATATTCCTAGAGCTTCCTGCTTCACTATATCGAAGATTTGACAAGCCTAGTGCTGTTAGCATTGCCCACATGAAGCAAAGAAGAGCAGCAACCATGACGTCAGGAATGGAAGCAATAAGGCCCCCAACTTTACCTGCGAGATCGATTTATTATTATAAAGATCAAACTGAAAATGGAACAAAACCAGAGGTCAAGCATATCATAGTAACCCAGTATTTAAAGTCATTATTCAAGTTTCGAGAGTACACACATCATGGCCTACAAATGTCCCCTATTCTACCTCTATAAATGAGAAAAAGTGACGAGTTTTGGAGGATCATGACACCATGAAACTCAGGATCAAATTTAAAACAGTGAGATCCTTCCTCCTGACTAAAATTAATCACCAATTTCTTTTGCACCTAAAATTGGCATCACCCTTTTCTTGCTCTAGGAAAGAAAAAAGTTATGGCACATCATACTTGGCAGTCATTCCTCATTGATCCTGGTCCTTAGAGTCTCCTTATTTGAAAATAAACCATTTTGAGTCTAGTAGTATCCAATACTCTAAAAGCAGTGACAACAATTTAGGGGGAAAGCGCCAGAACATATGGATTAACTTCGACCAAAAAACAAAGCTATCATTATCATAGAAATTGACTTGGGGAAGCTATAAGAACATAACTGTCCTAATGTGATAGTAACCACTCATGGGACACCACTAACTTGTGATGAATAGAAGTACAAGCGCGCTAAGACAGCAGCCCAGGTTTAAAGAAGCCAAGCCAGATGCCTACCCTCGAGTCAAACTTGACACAATTCTAAAAAGTGCCTACCCTCCCTCACTACCTGCCTCCACTTATAACCACCACACTCTACCAAACTAGCAAATTACCCCATCGGTGTTAAATTCCGACCGACCCATAAACTAAATCCTCTTGGTGATGAACACCTGAATGCTAAAGTTCCTCTTGGTGGCGAAATCCAAAGAGTGAACGTGTCGAGCCAGAATTTTCAAACACAATGGGTCCCTTCATTATGGTTTCTTCAACACTGATTCTGATATAACAATAGGAAGAGAACAGGCACGGCTTGATTAAGCTAGCTCAACAAAATTCATTCAAAGCTCAACAATGATTTTCAATATAATCCTACATTTGAGAAAAAATAAATAACTGAAAAATAAATAACTCTATAAAGTACAACTACAAATCAAGCACATAATATTGGTGCGAAAAAATCCAAGAAGGTTTCTAACATCCAGATAAAACTAGTCCTAAATTTTCAAATTTACTAATTACTCCTAATACAAAAAATAAAAATGCATGCACCCAATTCAAATTTACTCACCTACAAGAGATAACACTATCAGAATGCATGCTCCCAATTCAACTGCTCTGCGGCTTCCCATTTTTGTTACAGCAATAGTATGAACATTTTCAGTAAGCGTTGTAGACCCAGTTCCTGTACCCCATAGACCAGCCAAAATGCTAGAAAGACCTTCCAGGCCAATTCCTCGACTAAGAATACCAGGTGATGGGGGTCTGGAAGCCACCAACAATGAAGCTGCATGATACGAACCAACCTAAGTGGTTCAAGAATAAATTGGAGTCACAATTTATAAATTAAATGAATTTGACAAAAAAGTTACATTAAAAGAAACTGGGAAAAAATATAAACATTAAAATGGGTAATGAACATTCATGTTATGAGATATACAAGCATACGTTCTAAATAGCATTAATAAGGAAAAGAATGGTGTTCAATAAAAATAGTTCCACAATCCAAGCTGTCAAGCATTGTTCACAAAAATTTGATGATATATTCATCAGAACTTGCAAAATAAAAAAACCATAGTGGAAAACACTAAACTATTGTTATTCTTGACCTATTAAACACATAAGTACAGATAATTTTAGGTCTATGAGAACTTTTTGTTCATTTTGCTTACTTCATTTTCCAAACCAATAAATATACTTTTTAAATTAGAAACAGAATAATAATATTATCAAAAATATATATATAAAAGCTGTGTACATATAAAACAGCATGCTTTCACCCCTACAAGCAAAGGGAAATTAAAGAAAACCTATCCAATTTCCATTAACCAAAAGAGAGTAATTAAAACGGCACTTGGAAAAAAACTTCACTTAGAACCAAGGTAACAAGTCAACCAAAATATCTCCGCCACACTTTCCATAAAAAAAAAAATCCAGTCGTTGTTCCCAGTAACTTACCTCGATAAAATGAAGCCATAAAACCTCAGTTTTATTGACAAGGCAATTCCAAATCAATAATCGTAAAATAATATTTCTTTCCAAATTTTCCACAAAATTTGGAAAATGGACCACCAAAATTTACTACGAAACAACAGCTGAAGAAATGGTGCCTTAGCCTTTTCCTTCTCTCTTACATGATGAAAGCAATGAGATAGAGAGGAATCTGTATTTCTCTTCTAAATTCTGCCACAAGAATTAATCTTGGCAATAGCAAGGGACAATCATTAACAGTTCTTCACAGATCGCACTCCTAAACCTGGAATTATTTCTTTGGCTAGTTTTATCATCACCATTTCCATGGGTTGACCTCGTTACATTCCTCGGTATGGAAGAAGCATTACCAACAACTAAACCTTTTTGAGTTTTTATTGTTCTTTACATTCATTTCCTACCATCAACTAATCTCTCATGTTCAAAGGGTAGCAGGGTGTTCAATTGTGAGAGTAACAGCATTCCGGGCAATTTGGTCATGGCCTGATGGGCTCACTTTGGCCTTTTCAGAAGATGTGGGAGGTTATCAAGGAAATTATTTACAGTCTTAAGGATTTTCGTAAGAAAGGGAATGATATATCCAATTACAAATGAGACTTATGTAAGGTCAATTCTCAAAAGGAAAAATTCACCTAGCATCACTTCCAAAAATCAGGATGCATTTTTAGCTGGAAGCTAGAAAGTAGATCAGGATTTTATATCCATCGAGGCGATTGAGGATTATAGGATCCATTGTAGGGATCATTTTTTAGATTGATTTTGAAAACATTTATGATCATGTCATGTAGATTGAAACATGCTACTGCATTTTAGACAGGACTCGGCTTTAACTGGAGAACATGGATTTGGAATTGTTTCTTTAGAAGATTTCTCCTTCTTGGTCAACCGTAAGCCTAGGAGCAAGATTCTTACTAGTTACTACGAGAGGGATCGGTCAGGGCGATTCTCTATCTCCTTTTGTTATTGTGGTGGTGGTGGATCTTCTTAGTATACTTATGTTATGTCTAAAGACATGGATAGAGGCTTAACATAAAGGTCCTAGAAAGGATAAATGTTAGTATTACTTGCTTACAATTTGCTAATGATGACATTTTCTCCTATTCTAAGAGGGAGATTCATTAGTGAACCTTAACAAGATTTTGCATATTTTCTAGACCATTTCTGGCTGTAGGATCAATAAGGAAAAATGTTATGTGGTTGCCCTTAATTGTTACTCAAGAAAGCTCGAGAGATGATCTCATTTGGACTGTTGTGGGGTTTCCTTGTTGCCCATGATATATTTAGGGATTTCACTAAGACATAATCATAGGGTTCACTCATTTTGGGACCCTGTGGTAGAGAGTTCAAAAGCATTTATCTACCTAGAAAAAGGTCTTTTCCCTCAGGGCTGAAGGCTTACATTTATCCAATAAGTCCTTAGAAAGATCCACGCTGTTTTCTTTCTTTGTTTAGGATCCACCCATTAGTGTATCCTAAGGTAGAAAAGTCGTCATGAGGAACTTTTCGCAGGAGAGAGTTGAAGAGGGAGGTTTGTCTCATATAGTTAGATGGGAGGTTTGTCAGATGGGAGGTCATTTTCCAATGAGTACAGGTCGGGCATCAGGAATTAGGAGAGTAAGAATTTTGCTCTCCTAAGTGGCTGCCATGCTTCACTTTAGAATCTGCACCTCGTGCCATAAGATTATTGCAAACAAGTACAGCCATTTCTATGGTAGGTGAACTAGGCACGTTCAAGAGTACTTGGAAAGCTATACTTCTACCCCTGCCCTTAAGATGTTTTAGTGCCCCTTTTGTTTATAATATAGCAGTATCACTTCTTATCCAAAAAAATAAAGAAAAGAAAGCTATATTTCTATCTTCTGCAATTTAGTCATTTTATCAAGTTCTTTGCAGAAAATGAGTGTCGTAGTTGTTTCTAAGATCATTGGATTACTAATGATTCCTTCCATAACCTCTCTCCATGCCTCTACAACCCCTCTTCAAAAAGATGCTTTCACAAAAACAATTTTGCTTCGCAATACTGCCTTTCTCTCCATCGTTCCATAACTTCCATTCTAGGAAACATAGTTAGAACAGGAGGAAACCTAGGATTTATCCACGTCATTGATCCCATTACGTAATGTTTGTCTTTCCCCAAACTCTAGCAATTATCCACGCCTTCAGTTTGTTTCTCTTGTAAATCTTTCTCTTCACCTATTTAATTAGGTAGCCTCTCCATTCAACTTCCATGTTCTAAACTAAGTTTTGGAAAGCTAAAATCACTAAGAAAATCCATTTTTTTCTCTTCATTGGTAGCCTCAAGGATCAACACAGTGGAACCATGGACCTTCATTCAGAGATCTTCATTATTTGTTCTAAGACTTCAAAGGTGCATTGCATGCAAAAGCATGTTGAAGATGTGATCATATTTTATGGAGATGCCACTTCTGATATGAAGGTTTGGAAGAGGTTTCTCGAGAGTTTTGGCATCATTTTGGCTACGAGCAAAAGTTGTTGGAACATGACGGAGGAGTACTTGTTCATCCTTCTTTCATAATTGAAGTTGGCTCATCTAGCCAGCAATATTCTTTCCAATCTCGCTTGGAACATCTGGTTAAAAAGAAATCAGAGCATCTTGAAGGGTGCATGAGGGTCTTGGGAAGAGATTTGGAGTCTAGTTGGGCATTTACAACAAATTTTTTTTTTATGACTTTTGTTCGTGACAACAAACCGCTCTTTGTGATTCTGTTGTTGTACTTTATTCTGTCTTGGACTCTTTTGTACTTTCAGTTACCTTAATGAAAGTTGACTCTCAAACATAAAAAACAAAACAAAACAAAGAAAAATCCTTACGATTGACCTCTTCAACCAAGATCTTTTTCCCCCTTTATCATCACTTCTTATTGTAACAATCCTACTAATGTTAGCATGGGGAATAGAATCATGAAAGTAAACTCTTCATGCCCATTTATACTTTAGTTACTTCCTACCTAATATGGAGAAATGGGCATTACTTTTCCTTCTACAAACTTTAGACACTTACAAAGTCACGTTTTTTATCACATAACATGAGCATGTATGCATATATATCTACATATGCATATCTTAGCAAAGAGAAATGCAACAATAAAAAGATTGTCAGAACAATGAAGATCAAAGAAATACAGGAAGACTAGATACAAGAGACTACTAACCGAATCCACAGATGAGATAACAGACACAACACACATAACAATCGCTGTTTTCCAGTGGAAGACGGGAGTACCCCACTGTAATGGATATGGAAACCTAAACCATGGTGAAGAGTTTAGTGCATGAGAAGTATCAACTCTACAATGCTTCATCCTTGAAACATGCTTTCTGCAGTGGTCAGATATTATATTTGAGGCAGGCACATTTGTATCACAACCTTTATAACTATAAACTCCAGCTTCAGTCAGCAAAAAAGCCAACGCCCATGTGATAACAATTCCCAGTGGAACCTGGCAATGAATTATAAGATCATAGTTAACCCCATGCATGTTAAAATACAACCTTAAAGACGATGTATCAGGAAACTAGCAGTTTCAAAAGTCAAAAATGCCATAATATTGCAACTCCTCACTTACAGCGTAAATTAAAAATATCCGATGGCCAAGAATAGATATCTTCCGGAGATACTGAGGAATTCATGAAAATAGTGTTAGTAATTTGTTTGAAATTTGACTGGAAATAGTGACAGGAC